TGAATTATCTTTATATAACTCTTGCACATTTGTTTTGTTCGCTGGAACTCTTATCAACATAGAATCTGCCTTTAAAACTTACAAGATTTATTGGCAGTATCTCTCCCTTATCACAATATCTCCATGAAATGCTTTACCGTTAAGTTATGATGGTTATCAAAGATGCGATGATCTCGGTGCAGCCTTCTCGGGCAGGTCCTTACCAGCTTCCCTTTCTGTGGCACGGGCCGAGCGGGGCTTGCTCTGCTGTTTGTGGACGTCAGAGTCCTCAGGCATTTTTTCTGTTCAAGTTCTTGGGGATCACATATGGAAAAATGGATGTAAGCCCCCAGAAGTGATCTCTGAGCATAGTGAATGCTGATGATCCTCTCCCAGCAGACAAAGACCTTTTTGAAAATACAGTAGGAATTGACAGTAGAAAAYAGATAGAGGACTAGGCTGCTGGATTTAAAATAGGTAGGTGCTGCACTCATTAAAATTGGTGTGAGCTGTAATGCTTATAAATTAGAGTCTTGTAAAGTGTAAGCATGTGGGTTGAATATTTTAGTCTTGGTAGTTATTTATATTCCATTTTTACAATGGCAGGTTTATTGTCTTTTTTAATGCATCTTCACATAACTGTTGGGTTTTATCTGCATGTTTTTGCTACAGTGTGGTCATCAGCACAGTATCGCCAACATGAAGGCAAMAGATCTGTATGTGATTGTGCTGTATATTATAAATCCTCTCTGCAGAGCTAGCCTGTAGTTCTAATACAATGTGAGGAATATGTGGGTAGTGCATCTTTACCACAGCCACAGGCACTAGAGCTCTGCACAATCTGTGCGTTTGAAGAAATGACCTCATGTACAAGTGAGAATTGCTGCATGGGAAGGGTCCCAAAGTTCGGTTGGAAACTTCTGTGTAACCTTAATAATACATTACAGAAAGAGAATGGGAATAGCGATGAAACTTAATACTGCTAAAATTAAAAGGATTTATATATATATCTAAGTAATTTCTGAAAGATATGCCGAGGTGCTTTCAAGATGAAGTTAAAATTTGGCACCTTAAGGCTAGTCTTGTGAATATTTAATTCCTGTAGTTGTGCATAATACTTTGGGTAGGGCCGCTGGTTATGGATGAGAGTCTTTGCACACTGCAATTGTGACCCCCATAATAAAAGCTGTAATTAGTTTGGCAGGTAAGTTGTCTCAGTAAATATGTTTATCTTGCTTGAAACCATGGCACATTGTCTTGTCATTTTGCTGAAAGCGAAGCAGACKGATTGCGTTATTGTGTGAGCGGCAGAGCCCCAAGGATGTTCTGGGGAGGGCTGTTCAGTCACCGTGCCCCTTTACTCCTGAGCCAGCACTGAGTGTTCCCTGCGTGGTACCACCATGCGTCACTCTTCTGTGACTYGTGGTCTTTCAGGCTTCTTACAGGTGGCAAGTTAGGGCTTACTCTCCTTGCCTTTCAAGGCACCAGGCTGCAGTACTTTTGTGGTAACTCTAAGAATCGTTTGGACACTGGGGATGAGCTCCAAAGTATGTGCACCAACATGGACAGAGGGGCACTTGCAGCTCTAGGCACTCATCGGTGTGTCCAGGACAAATTGGTTGACTCGTGGTTTTCTTATGACACTATATCATGCTGTCTTCTCTAAAGCTGCAGCAGAAAAGATTAGAGGCTGCTTAGAAGCATCACAAGTGTGAGAGAGTTGAGACTGCCTTACTTCTGTCTTAGCTCACTAGCTTTTGCAAGTGGATTTATTCAGATCTTTTCTTGGGAAGTCTGTTGGAAATCTGGCAAGCAAAGGGCTATACAAATACTAGTCTGCAGTTACTTGATGGGTTGCAGTGCCTCGTTGCTACAGGATGAGGGCCTCATTTCTGTACATCTGGGTGATTTAAGAGAGATCTTAGACTTTGATCTCTTTTTGTTGCTGTTTTCTTCTAAGTAAGTGCCGTTTAAAACATAAAATATCAGAATGTATTAAATCTTCTAAGCAGTGCACTAGTAAATGCAGTTASGTTTTCATTATGAAATAGTAAGTGATGTTAATATAAATGAATAACTACAGCTGCAATCTGCAGTTACAAAAGATCCCCTGCATTTTTTCCCTTTAACAGTAGTCAAATATTTTAAACATCAAAGTCTTCCCTTCTACACMTTATTCATTCATGCAAATGTCTCATATTGTGCAACAGAGTGATGTGAAAGGTATGTCTCTTTAGATATGGTAAATCAATCTTGTTGATCCTTTTTAAAGAAGTAGTTGGGAATGATTTTAGTGATTATTTAGTTCAGTATTKTCTTGGTTTTCAACTTATTAAGATTCAAAAATGTTCAAACAACTTTACAATCAACCTCTATTTCTCTTGCCACCCTCCAACAGTAAAATCTTACTTTATTTCATCAACAAGTCCCTTTTCTCTTTAAAGGGACTGTAGAAATGAAATCCTAGAGGAAAAACTCATTTAAAAAAACAGAACTTGATTCTATAGTATCTTCCCACCATACTGGGGRTTGCACAACAGAGGTTATAGTGGTTCCAAGGATACTGCTGTACCTCARCAGAGATGGTACTTGATAGGGAGAGTTTGGCACAGTCATCATATATAACATTCTCCACCCACTTTGGGGGAAAACTTAAACTTAGGAAGTGTCTGGTTGACGATGAACATCTTGGTCATACTCAGTTGCCACAGAGTCTACAGTTTCCACTATTTGGTAAAAGTTCTAGTTCCTCTGTACTAGTTGAGGTTAAAGTCATCCTTAATGCTAGATGAGTATGAGTAAAAATCTTAATAGAGATACTGCAACRAAGTGTGTGTGTGTGAGAGAGAGAGAGAAAGAGAGAAAGTAGTTTTGGGATGGGATCTTGGAACAGTCTATAGCTTGTTCAGTTGATTTGGGCAGGTCAGCAGAACACATTGATACCTTTTCAACGAAGTAGATTCATTGGAATCCAAATGTTGCATGTATTGATTTTAGTCTAGTTTTCTTCTGGCTGTACAGACCTAAAAATTTGGAACCTGACCCTTTTACTGCAGGAAGCAGTGGTTTCAACTCCATCCTCCTGGTGTGAAAATAATTCAAAGCTTTTTGGTTTTGTTCCAATACAAAATGAAAATACATGATCTGACCTTGAAAGTTCTCCTAAAACACTCTTGCCGTCCTTCAGTCAGCTCTAGTGCTATGTCCTTTCTGGATTGCTTTGAGATTTTTCAGTGAGTGATGTTTAAGAGATATCCATTACTTGAATGGAGTTAGGGTGGTAAGGTTGTAGCCGTATAAGCTTATTCTCCAGTCTCCTCTACACATTGTAGAATGTCTTAAGCTTACTCATACGTGCTTAAGAACATTTGCTAAGCAAAAGTAAATAACTGTTTCACCTGTTTCAACTGTTCAACTGTTTCACATAATGGATGAAATGATATCTTTAAAAGAACTCAGTTAAAGCTGAGGTGATATGAAAAAGTCATCAAACCTTGGTAAATTCTGTGCTAGTTGATGGTGTTTTTTCAACTCCTGGGATAATTTGCAAGCTAGCATGTCAGAATCAAAACTGAATTCTTGCAGCCAGCTTGTAAACTTGAGTTTACAATGGAAATTCTGGTCTACTAGGCTCTTAACCATATCAAGACCAGCAGGTGTTGCTATAATATATTAAATGCTAGGGAGACATCTAATAATCTACACTTGAGTATTAGTTCAATACATTTTCTTAAATTAAATTGATATTTCTAGGAAAATGTAATACTGTGATAGATTTCCAGCAAGAATGGTACTGAAACACTCAAAACAATTTAAATTTGCAGGTTCAGAGCTGCTTCTGCTGAAATTTTCTGCTGAGTTTTCCTACTGCCTGCCTCAGTGAAAGAAAATCTGACCTTGCATTTAAGCATCATTTGACAATTGAGTCTATTTAAGAATAAACGGTACTGCTGAAAGCGGCCAAATCTTATGCAGATGTTAGAGAAGTGTTTCTGGGCGAGAGATGCAGCTGCAGAAACCGGTGGCCCCTCTTGACAGAGATGAGGTTAGATTATGATGAAATTGTGATCTGGACTTGTGCTGCCCTGCTGCTCCCCACAGTGCCCAAGGTCTAAGGTGGTCCCCCAAGGACAAGGACAGTGTTCTTCCAAGGCAGAAGCACCAACCGCAGCCTCGAGGGCTTTGCAGAGGCTGGACAACAGGCAGGGCAGAAGCAGGATGACAGTCGGGGTCTGTCCCCAGGTCACCCTGAGTAGACCTTTCTAGGATGGAGAAAACTCAGGGAGGCTCTGACTTTTCCTGGGTTTTGAGTTCAGCAGCTCCAGAGATCCAAGGGAGATAAAGCGGGTTAAAATCCCACATCCAGGATAATAGTCTGGTATGCAACTACCTAAAGGGAGGTGGTATGCGAAGGAAGGGCCACCTTAAGTGCACCTCATGTCTATAGGTAAATAGCGTAGGGCTCCTGCTTGCTCTTGAGCAGTTGCTTGGTGTGTGTTTGACCGTAAGGACCTAGGCTGCTTTTCTCCAGCTCCGTGTGTTGGACAAGAACTTCCCTGTYGGCTGGAGGAGCTCCTGGCGGTGTSAGTGCCAGGAGGGGGATCAGGGGCCCGCGCTGTGACCCGCTGCCCTGCTGCGGGGCGCCGCGGGGCCGTCGCGTCCCCTGCGCGGTGCAGGGCGGCCGCAGGGCC